TGTCTGTTTGCAATGCATTTCCTGCACCTCCCGTCCTTGCAATGCATTTCCTGCACCTCCCGTCCTTTGCAATGCATTTCCTGCACCTCCCGTCCTTGCGGCGCAACTCAGTGAGGGTTTGGAGCTGCTCAGGTTTGCATTTCCTGCACTGCATCCTTGCTCAGCTTTGCATTTCCTGCTCCACGTCCTTGCAGTGCGGTGCAGCGACGGTTCAGAGCTGCATTTCCTGCACCTGCAACCGCCCCCCGACCCGTCCTTGCAGCGCAATTCCATGAGGCCTCGGAGCTGCATTTCCTGCAACCCCATCCAGAGTTGCATTTGCTGCGCTGCATCTGTGCAGGTGCAATTCAAGGGCTCGCGGTTGCATCTCCTGCACTGCGTCATTGCAGTGCATTTCCTGCACCCACACCCCACACACACACACCCCCCTTGTCCTTGCAGTGCAATTCAGTGAGGACTCAGAGCTGCATTTCCTGCACCCCGTCTGTGCAGCGCAGCTCAGGTTTGCATTTCCTGCACTGCATCCTTGCAATGTGGTTCAGTGATGGTTCAGAGCTGCATTTCCTGCACTGCATCCTTGCAATGCGGTTCAGAGTTGTATTTCCTGCACTGCATCCTTGCAATGTGGTTCAGTGATGGTTTGGAGCTGCATTCCCTGCACTGCATCCTTGCAATGCAGTTCAGTGACGGTTTGGAGCTGCATTTCCTGCACTGCATCCTGGCAGTGCGAGTCGATGTGGGTCTCAGAGCTGCATTTCCTGCACCTCACCCAAAGCAGCGCAGCTCATAGTTGCATTTCCTGCACTGCGTCCTTGCAGCGCAATGCAGCGAGGGTCTCAGAGCTGCGTTTCCTGCACCCCATCCTTGCAGCGCAGCCCACAGTTGCATTTCCTGCAGCCGTTCCCTTGCAGTGCCCGGGTCAGGGCTGCATTTTCCTGCACCCCATCCTTGCAGCGTGGGTGCAGGGGTTGGGTCAGATCTGCAGCTCCTGCAACGCTGTCCATGCAGTGCAGAGGCAGACCTGCATCTCCTGCCCTGCGTCCTTGCAGCGCGGCTGCATCACAACTCAGATCTGCATCTCCTGCACCCCATCCTTGCAGCGTGGAGTCAGATCTGCATCTCCTGCAGTGCTGTCCATGCAGTGCTGGGTCATCCGTGCAGCGTGG